CCCTAAAATAATTGTATCATACTACTCGTACAGTATGTGTGCAGGTTTGATTGTCATTGCATTGAATAGACTCAGAATGAATAATTCGTTGATTATACGATGACATTTTTTATTTTTAGTATCATAATATAATAAAACATATTTATGTTCCAATTTAAAGGTTCAGCGAGTAAGATTAAGTTGAAAGGGATCCATTGGCAGAAATTAAATATAAAATAATACTAGTGATGTTTACACTATTGTGTTTCATCTAAATCGTACAAATTGTTGTTTTCTCCACCCTAGAGTTGTCGCTTTATATTTACATCTGGAGCGTGTCCTTATATGGAGGCCGCCATGTTTTTTTACAGTCGTCCAAACTGGACAAACTAAACACCTTTTGAGTTTTTATGGCAACTGAAGGTTTCGACTCTTTCTCTGTCGTGTTCGGAGGGGGAGGGTGAGGTGAGGATGTATTCCGCTGCGATGTGCAACTCCACCACTAGATGTCAGTAAATTCTACACACTGATCCTTTAAGTGAGTGGTTGGCTAAATAATAAATAAAAGCTGTTCCGTACAAACAGATGTTTTAAAAGCTTCAGTTTTTTTTTTTATGATTCACATTTATCATCAATAACCATAAATATTAATTAAAAAAATAAAAATAATGTGTTTGTTTTCCCGCCGTTCCTTTCGTCCACAGTGTCAGCTGACCGCGACGTCATCACGCAAACCTCCGAGGCGCCGCGTGTCGTACACAGGAAGTAGAATCATCAGCTGATCGCTCGGCTGTTGTTGATGCCCGAAGTTGCTGCGGCTCGGAGCCTGTGTCGCTCGTCTCCGCTGCGGACATCGAGGACGTGAGACGGGGGACACGGTGGACATTGTTGCACCAGTCGACGACTCTAGGGGGACGAGAGGCGTCCAGTCGCGAGGGCTGTGAGTTAGCCGAGGTAGCAGCTAAGCTCCCGGGGGCTGGAAAGCTTGTCGGTGGAAGGAAGGCAGAAAGAAAAACAGCAGCTTGACGGGTTCTCTTTGTTTGTGTGGTGCCGGCTCTGAAGCGCAGTGTTCACCCCCTCCTCCCTCCCCTGGTGTCTGTGGTTCTCCTTCCCCAGCACAGACGTTATCTATGTTTACACTTCGTTAGCATCAGGCTAAAAAAAAAAAAAAGGCAGCAGCTAGCTCGCCAGCTAACGTTAGCACATAGCGCTGTGTTGCTTTCGTAACCGTGTGACAGTGTCAGATAAGGAGCCGAGGGGAGCAGCCTGGTTCTCAGGGGGCGATATACTTGTGCCTCTGAGTTTTTTCCTCATCTGTTTATCAGCGGATCAGGTCGGTGGACACGCGGGACTGTGGTTCAAAGAGCTGGCTGTCGGGTTATTACTTTGAAATCTTGATTGTTTTTGTCCTTAACTTTGAATTTAAAGTTGTGTAATAAGTTGATTTCAACTCAAAACAAGCTGCAGGTTAAGTGACAGCTGGCTCTCCTGGTTGCGTCATTTGTTTATGTGCACGCTTGTCAGTCTCTGTTGGGTAACCTGTTACTTGTGATTTAATGGTTCTGTAATTGAAATCCGGTGTTTTTCTGTCAGGCTCAGTCAGAGCTGTGGATATCATTCCAAATATTTAACCTCGTCGTTCAGTTTTAATGTGAGCAACATGACGTGTGATTGAAGAGGCCAGTGTTTTTCCGCTGTAACTCATAGATTGAGTTTGGTGTCTTTAGAGCAGTGAGTAGATTAGAGTTTGTCAATTGAAGTGGCCACCTTGATATAAGTGTGAGACAGTGCTGTGACCAGAGGACGAGCAGAGAGAGAGAGAGAGGAAGGGAGGGTCCCTCAGTCCCACTGTGTCTTGAGGTGAGCTGTCCCCCCCTCACTACTTGCCAATGCTGGATCTGGAGGTGGTGCCTGAGAGATCACTAGGAAATGAGCAATGGGAATTCGCCTTAGGTGCGTATTACAACCTTCTACCTTGCCATCCATTACGTTTAGAAACAAGAGGCCGATGAATGCAGATGTGATACTGATATACGGTGTGAACAATGTCTCATAATGATAAATCGACAAAGAAATGTAATTGAGGCTTGATGTTTTAACCAAAAACTCTATCTCAAATAAAAAAACACAATTACAATCAAGTATATGAAACTTTTTTTTAAATGTAAAACGTAAATATAAATGCACAACCTTCTGCATTCTTAATGTTGTAAAATAAAAGGTTTTCATCTGAGCACACACTGGCTGACACCATTATGACCGTGAAAGGCTCATATCATTTTTTTTATCAGCCAAACCATATATCGGTTGGGCTCTATTAGAAACCTCTTTTTTGTTATCATCTTTGCATGTTAGTTTTGTTTTTTACAACGGGCTTAATCAGAAATCATGTAGCTTTCCTTCATTTGTGTGTGTGTGTGTGTTTACATGTCTGTGTTTTCAGGGATGCCATTGGCCCAGGCCATCTCTATTCTACAGAAGCACTGCCGCATCATCAAAAACGTCCAGGTGCTATACAGTGAGCAGGTAAGATGGACAAACTATTGCATGCTCTCTCTCCCTCTCCCTCCCTTTCCCTCTCTCTCTCTCTCACACACACACACAACTGTTGATCAGCTTGTGCAACAATCCTATTTTGGGCAACAGTGCAAGATTTCTGTTTGGTACCAGTAATTCCAGCTGTTTAATAATACCAAATATTTTCTGTTAAATTGCCATACATCCTGTTATATATAGTGACATCCCTGTTTACATGACCTCACGAAAACTATAGTAATAATTATATAGTAGATGTGAAAGATTGATTCTCTAAACTTGAATGCCAATCTTAACATTACTGCATTAATCAGTCAATATTTATATTAATTTTCCAGATTCAATAACTTTTAAAAAGAAAGCACTTGTTCATATTAACAAAAAGTAAAGGTAATAAATGCTGCTGTCCATTTTTTGTGTGATGAAATATACATGTGTCTGCTGTTATATAGTTGGTGTGTCCTCCTCACGAGCAGCTGACAGTGATTGTCAACAAGCCTCTCTGTGTAATTAATTGGTTTGTTTATCTCTTTGTTATTCAGACACCACTCAGCCATGACCTTATACTGAACCTGACTCAGGATGGGATTAAACTGCTGTTTGATGCCACAAACCAGAGACTCAAGGTGAAAACTGTTGATTTAAACTGGTGGGAAAAGAGAAAGAAACTTGGGGGGAAAAATTGTATTCCTCCAGAGGAATTTAGCAGCAGCAGCTTTAGCAAAGATATTTAAACTTCCCTGACCTTGCTCATTAATATTTAACTAACATTTTGTTTTGTGTCCTAATGTTTCTCATCTTTGTGGGTGACAGGTGATCGAAGTGTATGACCTCAGCAAAGTCAAGTTGAAATACTGGTGAGTAGAAATACAATAATGTCGCCCAAATGAAGTTATAGGAGTTAACCTGTTGAAAAACAGCCGGTTATATCCACTGGGGAAACCATGTCAGACTCTTGTTATATGTTATATGTCTATTTGTATTATTGGTGTTTTACTTTGCCATAGAGACCAGTTCCAAGTCAGATATGCCAACAGCTAATGGAGTCTGCTTGCTTTAATGGTATAGTGGGGTCCAAAAGTCTGAGACCACTCTCACAGTGGGGAAGTGCATATGTGTAAGATTATATTTCTTTTAGTGGAACCCATTTGACATCAGTGGCAGTAGCTGCTCAGCTAATGCAGCACAGCCTGTATGAATGTTAATAGATTTTACGCTGACTCTGTGTGTATTGTGTTTCAGTGGAGTCCATTTCAACTCTCAGGCCATTGCCCCCACAATAGAACAAATAGACCAGTCGTTTGGAGCCACGCACCCTGGAGGTACTTTACAAAGCAAAAACACACTTTTTAATGAAGCTACATTTTGATCGTACTTTTCTGTTTTATGACATGTTGTCCTCTCCACCTCTCACCCTCCAGTTTACAATGCCGCAGAGCAGTTGTTCCACCTCAACTTTCGGGGACTGTCCTTCTCCTTCCAGCTGGACTCTTGGAATGAAGCTCCGAAATACGAGGTGAGATTGCTGTGATAGATTTGCCCGTCGGCCAGTTAAAGAAAAGCTGAGTGGACATTTCTTCGTGTCCAAGGGGAATTGGGGCGGCCTTGTGAATTTAAGTGATTACCCTTCACACAGACAGGCTGAGGTCAAGTGCTGTGTTTGCTTTGAGCACATCTCTGAAATCCTATCAGCTCGCTTGCATTGTACTGTGATCATAAATATCGAGGGATGCAGACACCTAAAGCATACAGATTTCCTTGGGTGTCAGTGAGACACCCCCCCCCTGTGCGTCATGTCCAACATCATGAACACAACAACAACTTAGGCTCTCTCACCTCACCGTCTAGCCAAATTAGCCCTCTCACCCAGATGTCAGGATTCCATCGCTGCCGATTAGAGCCAGCACCGATAGAATCCTGCGTCTGCTGCTGAGTCATTTGACCTGGGAGTGAATGCCGATTATATCTTTTCGCATTGCAGACAGATAGTGAGATTTTTTTGGAACGGAAAAGGGGCTAATGACTCATTGCAGTGTTAATTAAGCAGTAAAGATTCTGACTGCAGTTGGGAGTTATGGGACTTGAGCTGGTGCAGGCAACATTCATTTATTGTTAAATTCTCCGAGACAAAGCAGATATTCAGCAGTTACATCGTGAAGTCTAATGCTTGTTTGTTTTTACTGCTGAATAGAGAAAAGTGTCAGATTTGAGCCTGTGTGGCTTTATATTGATGTTTGAATAGGTGGACAGAGCCTGTTGTGGATGTCGTACTCTCTGTGTTGTGCAGCTTTGGAAGTCTTGGCTCATGCGTGTCATTAACCAGCTGTTCTGTCGTCTGCCAATTTCGTCTGCTCCTCTGAAAGCACAGATCACGTAGAAATGTTTTTACTGCTCCTGTTCACACATTTAGTTCATTTCAGTTGACTTCATACTTCAAGCTGCTGCTCCAACCATAGACTGTCTATGGCTCCATCACATCTGCACATATTATTGATTATTTCATTAACCAATACTGTGCATCCTGCGCTCCATGTTGAGGAGCAGGTTGATTGGATTTGTTTTGATTCCTGCTCGTTTGTGGCCTGTATTTGTGTTCAGGCACAAACATGATGCGTTCAGCTTCTAGTAATATATAATATATTTATATAAAATATTAGCTTTTCTCAACACTCAGCGGTTTCCTGTGTGTATGACGACAAATAAAGGTCTGAGGTTATTTGTAAAATGAGCATATGATGATCAAACTGGCCCAGTGTAGACGCCTTATAATGCTGAGCAGATTTCTTTATTTATTCAACATTCCAAGTTTTTACTTTCATTTGATATGAGAATAAATCATCTACTGGTGTTTTTCATCTCTGCTGCTTTGTGCTGATGAATGCAACCTGGAAATACACAGACAATTGTGCACATTAATTAACACCTGTCGAGTCACAATGAATGATGATTGGCTGTCAGACCTCTTGGATTGAAGGTTGCGAGTTGATAGAGACCGGAGGCAGAATGAAATGTAATGATACACATCAGTGAGGAGATGAATTGGTGGAGTCAGTCAGTCTCTCACTTCTTTCTTTCAATTCACTGTATCTTCTCTAAATGTATGTTAAGCTGGACACACAAACACAATACACCGGATTCCAGTTGCTTTACTAGTCCCAGTTGTTTTGCCTTGGCAGCCTAACTATGCCCTGGGTTTGGCCTCCCTGCAGATTCCCCACGGGGCCATGGTCAAGAGGATGCACATCTACACTGGCAACAACCTGCAGGAAACAAGGTCCATACACACACATGCACGCAAACACACACAGTTACACAAAGTAAATGTTGCCCAACGTGTGCATAACAACATATAAGAAAATAATGAATCACATGATGAGAAATGCTTGAGTGTTTTGAAATCAGCGGCCTCACTGCCGTCTGATTTACTTGCTTGTTTGTTATTTTTGCAGACATATAAAGGTTTTGTAGGATATTTGGTAAATATTGGTCTGTAAGCTACAGGCAACACAAACACAAAACCTCAGGATTAAGAAATGTCGGTAATAAGGGGCTCAAACACTCTGCTCTCTGTTTCCTCAGAGCTCCAGCGATGCCGGTGGCTTGTTTCCTTGGCAACATCTATGCAGAGTGTGTCGATGTCCTGAGAGACCGGGCAGGGGCTCTGGGGCTCAAACTCCGCCTTCTCACTGCAGGTATTACAAGTCTCAGACAAACGATGACTAAGCTGAAGACGTGGATCAGAATGTCAGAGAAAAGTTTCCAACATCTTGTCGAATCCATCCCGTGAATAATTGAGGCTGTTTTGACAGCAAAGTGAGGCCCCAGTCAGTTTTACTATGACGTTCCTAATAAAGTGCCCAGTGTGTGAAACTGTCTGAATGTTCTCTTGTACGTGCTGTTTGGGTTTTCTTGTCATTTATCTGATGTAACGTTGTGATGTGATGTGTAGGTTGTGGTCCAGGTGTGATGGCTGATGCTAAAGTGAGGTCTCTCGAGAGGAGCATCTACTTTGGAGATTCCTGTCAGGATGTACTCGGTGCTCTGGGCTCACCACATAAAGTTTTTTACAAGTCTGAGGACAAGGTAGGAACATTTCAGATCTACACCCGGACGGCTCAGTTTTCTCCCCTTGATAGCTTGTTTTACCGCAGAGGAATTGCACCAGTTAATTACAGACATGCTACATTGACCATGTTTGGTGTTTTCTTTGCTTTCTTTCACTGGTTCCAGATGTGAATATTTTCACCTCTTCCATGTGACTTTCTGAATTCTTTACAATCCTTGTTTGTTTTAGATGAAGATCCACTCTCCATCACCTCACAAGCAGGTTCCTTCTAAATGTAACGACTACTTCTTCAACTACTTCACCCTTGGAGTGGTACGTGAGCTGGACTTGTATGTGTGTCTATACAGTCTTGTTCAGAGTTTTCGTACCCATATCTTTGTCACAGTTTTAGCACCAACTTGAAAAGTCTGGGTGAAGTGAACATATGTAATTAAGTCATGAACACCCAGCTTGTTCTTGCTAATGTAGTTTTTGTTGGTAGAACACAGGTAATGTTGCTGCAAAAAATGTGACCTAGCTGGTAGTTGCAGCTTACGTGTGCAGAAGTGGGAAAATCCAAACAACAAATAAAACTGAAGAACAGAAATGAGCCAGTTTCTGGATCCTTGAACTGAATCTTTGTCAAATCAGCAACTGAATTACGTCTGTCTGTGACTTTTATATAAAATATCTTCAGCCTGTGACATTTAGGGTCGTTATCTTCATCCTGTTTTGAGAATCTGTGCTGGGAAAGTAAACGAGACGAACTCATCTGCAGCCGCTGTTCATGTCCTCTGAATAAGAAGCCTGAGCTCCTCTGCACAGTTCCCCTCACATGGATGGGTGTGGGAGCGTAGTCCCTCAATGTGCATTTACTCTGTTTACTGTAGATAAGACTGTGTTGAGCTGATCTGCTCGAACAAACAAGAACAAAGCCAAAAATTGTGTTTTTCTTATTTTTCAGGATATCCTGTTTGACTCAACAACTCACCTGGTGAAGAAGTTTGTCCTGCATACCAACTTCCCGGGACATTACAACTTCAATATGTAAATATCTTGTTGTTTAAGAAACTTTTTTTGTATGTTTATATTTTCTTTACCCAGGTTTACTTCCCCTTTGTCTTTTTCCACAATAGTTTCCACATTATTTCTCTTATTTCACGTCAACAATCGAGTCTTTTCTGTCTCTGTTTCACACACTTTTCATTGTGATTTCCTTCATTTCAGATATCATCGATGTGACTTTAAGATTCCACTAGTCATCAAAAAAGGTGAGACATTTTTTAGTCACAAACCAACATCATAAATAACTAGAATAGGTTCTCAATGATCATGCTAACTAACAGACAAATGCTTATAAAAACATAACTTCCTCAGTGGAGGTCAAAAAAAAAAAAACTCCTTTAATTTTATTCTCATTTCTCTGATTTGTCTCCACGTTCTTTAGAAGGAGCTGATTCTCAGACAGAGGACTGCATCTTAACCACCTACAACAAGGTCAGTCGTGGATAGAATTCACGACAACAGCTACACTTTGTCAGATGTCGATGTGTTTGCTGTAATTTCACATGGTGGCGCTGTGGTAGGGCTGTAGGGCTCTGACAGATTTCATTATTTTGTAATGTTTTATATAAAGGTAACCAAACATTTCTTCATCGTTCATAAATGCCATTGTTAAATTTCAGCCTGTAATTGTTGGGGTTGTTGTTTGGCTGCAACTATAACGAGTACATTTCAGATAACTGGAGCCTTTATTGTCCTCAGACCTGTGAATCTGGATGCAGCTCTTTTTATAGTCATTCAAAAATGATCCCCCTCTAGTTAGTTAAAACAGCATTGACAGAGGATAAAAAGCTTTTTCTCTTTCTCTCTTAAACCGTTTTGTGTCTCTGTCTCTCAGTGGGATCAGATTCAGGAACTGTTGGGTCACCCGATGGAGAAGCCTGTTGTGCTCCACAGGTAAAGTGAAGAGAAACTAAATCGCACCGTCGCTAAAATGATTTGTGAGCGTATTTAAAATGTTGATTTACAAAGACAACATGCAAACCAAACGTTTAACAGCACCCAGATGATCATTATGTGTTTGTGTTGGACAGGTCCTCCTCAGCCAATAACACCAACCCATTTGGCTCGACGTTCTGTTTTGGACTGCAGAGGATGATCTTTGAGGTCAGAACACGTTGGTCTCTGTAGATATAAATGAGTCTGTGTGTGCGCAGCCTTATTTGAAAAGGAAAGGAAAACATTGGATGCTCAATATCAAGCTTTATTCCTTAACTTATTTATCAGCTGTTGCTATTTCAATTTTCTAAAATGTACAATTCATTAAATGAGTAAAAACTCAAATCAGTTTTATCTTAGGTGAGTTTCATTGTGCCGAAGAAAAAGGGAACTGATGTTTTTCTTGATGTGATAATTAAAGTTGCTAAAATGACTATTTATTACTATGCCTGTCTGATTTCCTCTCCCAGGTGATGCAGAATAACCACATAGCGTCAGTGACCCTCTACGGTGCTCCACGGACCACCGGTCAAGCCCGACCCGAATCCAGTAGTAGTTCCCACTGAACAAGCAACCAGAACCGCATCCCATTCTGGCCTGTCCTGAATCTAGTACCTCTACTGACTGAACCTCTTAACACGGAGCCAGATTCTTAACCAAGCAGACCTGACCCAGGACAACAAAGCTATTCTTGCTCAGATAACGAACACTGAGTAGAAGCACAACAAGAACCCAAGGAACAACCAAATCAGACCTGACGCTAATCAGCTTCTCACAGTGGGTATTAGGATTATTCTTCCAATCAGACACATCCAGCATATCCCATGACATCCAGGATCTACATACATTATCGCAGTGCTGGAGCATTAAAGCTTTGAAATGAAACCAGTGAAATAATTCCCTGGTTGTGTGGAAATATCACTGTGGTGCTGCAAACTGACATAGTGAAGAAATCTGCGCTTTTGTAGAGCTCAGCTGTTTCCTGTCTCCATCCTGTGACTGCATCCGCCCAGGACCACAGACGACCACAGACTGTAGTTTGGACGGCAAGGCTCCACCAGTGAGATGTACCGTAGATGTAAACCACGACAGTGTGGTGGTGAGACTGCGAGCGTTTGGAATTCACCTGCTGCACATTTTAAAGATAACAGTTGTGACGTCAACTCGGCTGCAACTGAAAACTGCTGTGGCCAAAATTCTTGAAGCAAACTCGACCCGCTGACTACACATCATCCGATCACACTGCCGAACCGTACCGCCTGTCTTCCTGCCTCAATTTCATAATCAGACCTGACTGGATCGGTCAAAACCCCGGAATGCGTCCAAATGACGAGAACCAAACCAGCCGACCAAGAGACCATCAGAGCCAAACACACAGAGGACTGTAACCAAAATACAGAAACACACAGAAGAATCCAAGATCCTGTTGAGGAACCAGACGCACTCAGGGTGTCTGAGTGCGTGAAAGAGACGTGGCCCAGGACGTAACCCACTCCATGGACGAGCCAATCAAACCAGATGATCCAAACATCCCACATCACCTCCTGATTATTGTCGCCCTCTTCATCGTCTTACCCGTCCTTCAGCGTTGTTCAGTGGTGCCCTCAAAAGACACAGAACACACACACACACACACACACAAGTAGACATCAGCGAACATTATTATTCCAAAGCTGTTGCATGCAGCTCTGGACATCAGCGACTCACACTCACTAGTGAATATTTGCATGTGCTCGGCCGCTGATCGACATTTCAGGACATAAATTCAAGCACACTTAACGCAGCAGCAGCAGCAATCTGTTCACTACTTGGTCGTTTCTAATATTTAAAACCTGGTTCATCTTTTTTTTTTTTAAGCCTTCGCAGCGCTAACACAAAACACGGGAACACGCAGGCATGACACAAGGTTTGCATGAACCTGGCCGATGCTTTTGAATGGAAAGAGACTCGTCACAAGATCGAACCAGCAGCCAGCTGTGTAGATCTGATCCTGCATGTTGTGAGGGGCACAGACCTGGCACGCAGTTTAGTTTGTATTTCTCTCCATCCTCTGTCACTCTTTCCCACCGATGACCATTTTCATTGTGATCAGTGTTGATAAAATCAAATCCATTTTGTACATTTGCACTAATACACACCTTCGTACTTGACCGGTCGATTGTGCCCTATACTCAGAGATGAAGTCGCGGAGACGTTTGGAGATAGAGGTGTGTGTGTGTGTGTCTCTGTCACAGGTCACATTTGGGGGAAATCTTTGTACAAAGCCATGTTTCTTCTATCCATCCATTATCTATACAGCTTATCCTTTAAAGCTTGGGTTGGTAATCCTGGGAAAGTGAAGAGTAATGCCAGAGCGACGCAGGGGTGGAAGCTGGAGAACGGAGCTGATGGTGCTTTCCACTGCTCCACCAGCCATGTTGTTTTTTCCTGTTTGGGTAAAAAGCTTATTTCTGGGACAGTGGTTAAGTTTAGGTTTAAGTTAAATCTGCAGGAAATGAACACAAGTCTTTGTAACGTCCCCGAAAGTGACCTGTGACGTGTCCATTTGAACAGAGGAGTCCATGTTTGCCGTCACGTCCTCTGCCTCACACCCATCTCTCCCTCTCTCTCTCTTTTTTCTTTTTCTTGCTCTGCACTCTCTTCATCTTCATCCCTCCACGATGTCTGCGTTTATTTCTCTGTTGCCAAATGCTTATAGCCAAAGATGTTTCAGGAGGATTTTAATTTGATCCGCAGACATCATCACTGTAAAGTTTGTGTGTCGTCTCATCGCCGTAGTAACTCCTCTAAAATTCAGCTCCCGGTTTCTCTTCCTGCCGACAGTAATCACACTAAACAAGAGCACGTGACTCATACGAGTGTGGGTCCTGTCTGTCACAGGGAGGTTTACAGCTGGAGACACATTAACAATAGTAAGAACCTGTGTCGTTCCTGTTGTGCGTGTCTCTTGTGCAGTGGTTATCGTTGTCACAGAGCTGTCACTGAAATATTTACCATTGTTTCTCTGTGCGTTCGGGACATTTGACCCCATTTTGAAAAATGGGGATCATTCACTCCTCCGTGATGTTTGAGTGCAGGTTGCACCTCCCTCCTGTGATGTAAACATTTCAGTTCTTTTTGATTTTAAGCAACTGAATAAACTGTGTATTAATTTGAATACACATATTCTGTGTTATCGTCCCTTCACACAATCCCATGTGCTTTTCATTTTGTCACAGTTGCTTGATTTGTGATTGCGTGTGACTGCGTCGGGGTGGAAGTCGGAGCTCGTTTTATTTTGTTGAGAATGAAATGAAAAAATGGGATGTTTTGTTTTGATGTCGCTTCATGTAGAACAGCTTTTAAAACTTCACAGTGTTGTTTTTTATCTTGTAAATGTTCACCCACAGCCCAGCTGAGTCAATGACTTCATCCCTCACAGACACCAGAGTGCGAGTTAGCAGATTCAATGAAACCCCCCCTTTCACTGTAACGGAAAAAAACAAATGTTTGCATCATTACTAACTAACTGCTAATCATCGATTTACCTCTTTTTAGAATCACTATTAGTCTTAAGTTAAGTACCGTTCTTTTCGGCTCAGCATGGCTTTGAATTTAAAACCAGATTTCCTGTGTTTTATTGTTTTTTTTTTATTATTTTATTTTGGATGAAGATCGTTTTTGAATTTTTTCTAAAGTATTTGGGTCCTAATGCTTCTGGAGTTGATGTTGATGTACAGACGCTGTAAATAGTTGTGCTCTTATTCTGGTGTCTTCTAATTTACATACATCTGAACGGCTCGGTACGGACACAACGGACTCAGGCTCTGGCTGAGTGTATTCACATTTCTTTCCTCGATGCTAATTCCATTAAAATCTCAGGAGGAGGGATCTGCTCATAAACGATCACTGGAAAGTTTTTTTTGTTTTTTTTTTAAATCTTGTTTTATTTTTAATTCCAGACCCCTTTGGTATCAAAACCTTTCCATGTGCGCGAGGCTGCGTGTTCGCAGATGTAGATAAACCTGCTTCAGAAACGCTTGAACTGCTCCTGAGGGGCGTTCAAACACAAAGCTCCTTTTTACGCAGGCGGTAAAACAATAATCCTTTTATTTCTCGTTTGGACCGGTGGAGTAGACGGGTCAGATTTGAAGTCAAGCTTCAGTTTGTTGCTTGATTTTACGTGTTTACATCAGAAAAATAAAAAAATCTCTGGCTTCAGCTCTCTTGTTGCCGAACTCCCTCCTTCAGTGAGGTGATGTGGTTCCTGGAGCCAGGAGAGATGTTTGATCCGCTCCTTGATTCTCTGAGGCCAGGACTCTGGAGCTGATGTAAAATAAAGCTGCAGTATATTACAACATTTTGCTACAACTTGCTTTTGTGCAAACAAACATGAGAAATCAATGAGAAAAAAACCAACAAACACGAAACTGTTGAACATTGTGCCTCATCTCCCACCGAGCCTGTCTTTGACTTTTGTCTCTCTCTCCTCTGTTAAAAGGAAAAACTCCTTGTACATACGATTTGAGAATGCATTGAATTGCATCATTGTACAGTGTGTGTGTGTGTTACAGAGAATATCAATAAGCTAACATGGTGTCATGGCCGTCTCAGATGTTTTCAGTTTTCCTGTAGAGAATGACAGGTTGGGTTTTCTAAGATGAGGATTTTTCAGGTTTTTTTTCACCATGTCAGTGTTTTTTTTATTTCAGCTGTTTCTCTTTTTTTTTGTGTTTGAATCGACATTAAATACCCAGAACAGTGCAAATATTCACAGGCCTTTAAAGCTCATGATAGTTTACGTGGAATACAGGATTTTAGAAATGAAACTCTGCCAAAACAAAATTGAGTTGTGCAGAAGATTTTCTCCGAAAAAAAAGGAGATTGTGTGTCAGTAAATTTAATTAAAACCTGAGGCGAAACTTTTCTTTCTCTCCCTCCACCCTTCACAGAATTTGACTAAATTGGTAATTTCCCAAAGTGTCTCATTGGAAGCAGATGGATCAGAGAGCATTAGAAAAAAAGAAATGAAAAACTGAAAGTTAGAGTCAGAGCGAAGAAAATCAAACGTTTGGGACAGAAATGTCCAGTCGTCACAGGAAACTGGGCCCAGCACACGACACACACATCAGATGCTGGTGATCAGACGGACAAACCCTGTTTGTTAACTCCAACACAGACAGTAGATGATGTCATCATGTTGCATGCTGGGTAGTTAATCTCGCTCCCAAACTCAGGTGGAAACATCCCAACCTTGTTTTTTTTCCTGATATTTTTAAATCAGAAAACTGAAATCTGGAACTTCTGTGTGGTTTTCAATTTAAAGTCTCTTTTTTTGTGTTGCTGAGTGGAGGAATGGATGATTGTGATAATTTATCATGGACAGATTTTTCAGTGTTAATCTCACACTAATGCTTTGTATTGTCTGTTCTTGGTATCATATGTTCTAACATGTCCCTTATTCTCCTCTTCTGTGGACTTTGAACCCATTGGGGCAGTTACGCTTAATTAAATCTTGTAAATTTCATTGGAATGTGGCATTTTATATTTTGAATACTTTAACTTTGTGTATTAAAAATACATGGATCCATTCAGCATGTCCACTGACAAAACGGCAATAACATTTGGATGTAGTGCGAGGAGACGGACGAGGTCGACTGAAAGCTTTGCTGGAGCAGAATATTTTTTTTGACGGCGCCTGATTGATGGTTGTTGAGATGAGCTGCTGCTGTGCGTTGTTTAACAACCTCGATGCAACATTTGGACTTTTCTGAAATCAAATGTTCACTGTTCATTGACGACAAAGTTCATTTTATGTGTGTGCAACCAGGATATGAAAAAATAAAATAAAAAATGTGGATGTCAAGGAGAATGGAATTGTTTTATTTCTTAATTTACACAACCTTGAAACTCAAACTTTTATATTTATATACTATTGCAAATTTTCCTTTGACTTTAGCTGTAAACTCTGATGAAAATTTAAATCTACATTCCAAGTGTTTGGAAAATTACAAATATTTTGTTCTTCAAATATAAAAAGTATATTGCATTTTAATGCCAAACATCATCTTTAAGTTGATCTGTATTTAAGCAGATTTACAATAGTCCAGAAAGAACTTTTTATAAATGAAGTTTCCAAAGTCCAGAGTTTGACACGTAATTGGACACTTGGTCTCGTTAAAGTCTGCGAGCAGCTGTTTGCTGTTTAAATGTTGGTTCATGCACGAAAAGAGCTGATGTGGCGCTGAGTCGACTGAGGTGTTGTGAAGAGGTGACCGGGCAAATTAATACGATAATAATGGTAAAACATTAGCTTGTTTGGCAACACTACGATAAAAAGTAAAGTGCAAACCTCCACCAAGGCCCAACTTATTTAAATTGGCTTGATCCGTATTTTCATTTGCACACAATCATAAATATTTGTCTCCCGAACCCGTCTGATATTTTTCATTAAGATCCACAAATTATTCTTTTACGAGAAAAAACCTCCTGGATCTACCCCCCCGATCCAGATGCACACCAAAATCAGTTTGGACCAAGGAGCACAAGTCAAGTCGATGAGCAGATGGTGAAGACAAACCTGTTTATTAGGGCTGCAGGACGCAGACGGACGTGTTTCCTGGCCAACGATCAAGAGACAACTTGATGAGAGAGGAAACAGCTCATGGACCAAAGACACCACCTCACCTCTCAAACATGGTGTTGGCTACGTTACAGCTCGAGCACGTGGAGTTTCCAATTCAGTCGTCAACGCTTGTTAGACAACTTTTCATCGTTCGATTCTAAACAAACGCACAAAGCATCGAGGTGAGAAAGTGAAATATCGTCCTGCACCATCTGAGACAGACGCAGCTCAGCCTGGGCTTCACATTTCATTAATAATGAGTTGATATTGATTTCTGTTCGGATACTTTTTAAAAACTGATAAAACACATTATTTTTGAACGTTTCTCTTTCAGCATCACAGAAACACGTAGACAGCAGAGGAGTGTAAATATGTAAAGAAAAATAAAATTAAACTAAATTAGAATTATAAAGAAAAAACTGAAAGTCCACAGTCTTCAGGGTCATTCAGACGTGTGTGTGTGTGTGTTAGTGTGTGTGTGTGTGTGTTGGTCCCAGCTGGTTCCTGCCGTGCAGCTGGTTTCCATTAAGGCATTTGTTGTTCCTCCAGGGAAACAGATATAGTCACCGTCCATTTGTCAATTTCTATCCAGCAAAACAAAGAGAAGAGCAACGTCTCTGCAAATGATTCACATCAGGAAACAAAACGTCTCAGCTGCTCAGCCGTGTTCACAGCCGCGTCCTCGGAGTCTGACATTTAACACGGTTGTGGTCTCACACACTTTAACTCTTGGATGAGGTTAAACCGGCTAACCACTCAATCTTGAGGTGAATTCATAATTTGAGCATCTGCCAGTCCTCCGGGCTCCACTGGGGTCCGCTATGGTCCTCATGGCGTGAATGTCGTCAAGAACCCCGTCCGCGTGCAGCCTGTGTTTGTTGCCCGCACGCGCTCCAGGTACAAATATCCACACGCTGGAATAGAACGGTTAGTGGGACCGACGCAGACGCTTATTTTAGTTTGAAAGGAACCGTGAGCATGTACAGACTCACAGTGGAAAGTATGGTCAACCTTGAAGGTGACTGTAGCAACACAACACATTCTGATGCGATTACACATTCAAAAGTCCAGAGATTCAAGGTCTCACGTGAAAAATCTTTCTGCATCGATCACCAGCACAGTGTGAACAGAGACACGGGGCTCACGTGGCAAAACCCTAAATTCTCTTTTGGATTCAAGTTTGAAGCATATTTGCCGATTAATTTCCCCCGAGTTGATCCGCCAGGATCTGGATAAACTCTCACATGTCTCAGCTGTGAACACGTCATTATGTTTTTTGGTTGGCCACAGATCCGGCATGAGCGCCATTTTGTACTCGCCGGCGCTCTTGCAGATCCCACTCAGTCCCTGCAGGAAGTCCTTAATGCATGATGAACACCCGCTTCTCACCGTAGTCCGTATCCTCGGCCATCTTCCCCCTCCACTTAAAGGGTGAGGGCGTCTGGCTGCTCCGGTTGTGGCAGCTCAGGTCGGGGTCGTGCAGGAGGTTCCACATGAGCCAGATCTGCGGGACGCTGAGGCTGTGAACCACCATGAGTTCTCTGTAGAAACAGGGGTTGAACGTCTGAAGGTGGGGCGCCGCAGACGGCCGGGGAATCCCAAAGGTCCGGAAGCCCTGGTGACGTGACGGTTTGACACCAATCAGCTGCAGGCACATTCCCAGAAAGACATCGTCAATGGGGAACAGCTCCACCTAGAGGACGCAAAGAGACGATTGTCAATCAAGGAAATCGAAAAGCAGAAAAACTTCTTCTGCCTCAACTTCTTTTTCGAATTTTGAAGCACCTGTTGACACGCAGAGCTCAGTCTCCGAGCCGTATGTCCCGACATCACAAACCCTCCTCCTCCTGCGTAATTTGGGTACAGACCCCCCCCGTACACAAACTCTGGCACATAATATTTGGAGCTCCTTCTGCGAATGGGTTTGGCGTGAATGATAATATCACCGACAAACAGATCCTCATCCGGCTTCTGACCTTGTAGCATCTCCAGTATGTTCTCCACATTCACATACACGTCAGCGTCACCCTTGAAAATGAACCTGTACGACAAAGGAAAATAGAAAACGTGTCATGTTCGAGTCACAGGCTGAGAATGTGGAAAAACACATACTGACTTTAAATACTGACTTGACTTGAGGACAGCTGCTGTTAACCCATTTCAGAAAATGTGTTTCCTTCAGCGTCAGGTTGAAGAAAGTGTCCTCAAAGTCCCAGAGCAGGATGTCCCGGAACGTCTGACTCTCGTAGCTGAGGAGGCGATCCCACAGAGGCAGAGCAGTTCGATTCCTGGGAACCCCTAGCAGGAAAACCGTACGAATGGTGACGTCGTTTGGGAACAGTCCCTCCTTACCCCATGTCCGACGCACCACCTGCAGGAGTCGAGGCAGAAGAAGGAAAGGTTAGCTTGGGTTTATGATGAACAGAATCTTGCACCGATGGGGAGGAGTATCAAGGTACCGCCGATACATGTGTTCCACCAATCGCGAGTCAGTTTTATCTGTCAATCGTGACTTTCACCCTGTTATTATAGCATCAAACTACCAATGAAAACTAAAGTTATCAGAACCATGAACTTTTTGGGACTTTTTTAAACTTTTTGTTTGGTCCATGTCCCATCTGCTAACAGGGAGGAGGCAGGGTTTATGAGCTAAACTGCAGCCAGCCACCAGGGGGCAACAGAGATGTTGTGAGGCGGTATCATGTGCTACAGACAGACTATGATCCAAAACGAAACAACAACACGTCATCATTTACCTGACGCTTATCAAAATCTGCCGCAACGGATTTGACTGCGATGAGCATGTAGGGAGCTTCGCCTCCTTCTTCCTCCTCTGCTCCTCCGATGTGACACTTCTCTGGCTGGTTGATGAGCAGATTAAAGTTCCTGTTGTCCTTCGCTTTCAAGTATCCTTCAAAGTCAAACGGAGGCATCGTGGGCAGAGGTTTGGCAGCAGGTTTGGTCGGCGCAGCATTCTTCCGTCGGGACTTCGATTTCCCCTTAGATTTGAGCAGAGGTTTGGATTTGGCCTGAGGAGGTTTGGACTTGGACTGGGGCTTACAGGCGGGCAGCTGTGGCTCTGACGGGCTGGAGGGGAACTTGAATATGAGACAGAGGTAATTAAAGGAGACATTATACTTTTCTTTATATATTTTTTTGTGCATCCAAAATCCAAAGACCTTAGAATTGAGCTAAAACCAAGTGTTTCAGACAGAGGCTGAAAGGAGGAGCAGCAGCGATGTGTTCTCTGAACATTAGAGCAAGTAAATAACACAAATTAAAAAATGATGAACCTGGATATGAGCAGATTAAAGGCTTGAAAGGTTTTTCACGGACCAAGGTGCAAACTTGGTGCAACAAAACACGCAATTGATTGTGATACCTTCATGCAAACAAATGATCGGGTCATACCTCTTGAGACTCCCGGCCCCCTTTGGCCCCACTGGCCCCCAGCAGTGTCCGACTGGAGCTGGTGGAGCCGTGGATCTCCAGCTTCCACTGAGGTCTGTCCCACCCGGAGGAGATCGCCACCTGCAAACAATGGTGGCGTTAGAGGGAGCATTTGAAATGTATGATGAGTTATGCACTTTGACTGTTTCCGTCCTCACCTGTCGAGCGTAGAGCAGCAGACAGAACAGAACCAGCAGCAGCATCGTGCACATCACATCTCCCTTCACATGGAGAATCCTCCTCATCGTCATCATCCTCCTCATCATCGTCATCTTTTCAGAAATCAGAAATTCAATCCTTTTTTTATTAATCCTATGAAATAACCTCAAACTTTACAGGTTTTCTGTGAGACATATATTCCACTGTTGTTTTGTAGCAGTCAGGCGTGTGCTTTTGTTTTCTCACCTGTTTGCTACGGGGCTGAGAACTCAGATTGATTTTGTCCTTGATGCAGATCACTCACATCACTGGATGTATGTCCATCGTCTCTGTCTCCGTCCTCCACTTCTGCTCAGACACCTGCAGGACAACAACAAAAACAAGATAAACCAGGACAAACCCACAAATTTACCTTAGTGAAGAAGATGAACTGTTCTGGATGTCGAAGCTCTGGTTTGAAAGGTTTTGCTCAACCTGTCTAATGCAGTTAAATCTTATTTTGATAAGATAAGATAAGATAAGAGAAGATAAGAGAAGATAATCCTTTATTAGTCCCACTATGTGGAAATCTACTGTGTTACAGCAGCAAAATGGAAATAGTGACATACACACTTAATAAAGATGAATATAAACACAAGGAAC